TATATTCCAGCAATATCTCGGCGGGGGACACCAGAAATGCTATCCTGTGGGAATCGAATACGAGCCAACGCATAACCACTAGGCTACTTTAGTCTTTTTAAGCCAAGTTATATCTTAACACACATTACACTTTGGACTAAAAAATTCACGGCCTTGCACAATTTCTGCTATTCACGAGAACAGTGACGCCTATTTTTGAAGATTTGTTTTGGGTGTTATCTTATCATATCCAAGTTTATTATACCCAAAGTCGACAGGCTTCTATAATTATTTTGAATCTAATGTATTCTATATTGTGATATGGATTTGTGTCAGTGGTAATCATGATAAAACTGTCGAAGTTGTTGTTCGAATTGCAAGAAAAATGCAGGAAGCATTGCATTTTCGAGGGAAATGACTAGCTTTGTTCATTTTAGAAGGACCGAGAACAAGACACTTATCATTTCAATGCACTCAGTGCAGCCTTGAGAGCAGTCAAAGTTCAGAAGTCAGGAAAAGACATCTATTCATTCTGGAACTTGTTCGGCATACCACTAAAATGACCAACGGATAGGTATATGACTGCTTCAGTGTGATGCCCTTGTGGTGTGACTTTGGAAACACCGTCCACAGAACGTCCATAAAAACTCCGTTTAGCTGTTTAGACATTTTCAGCAAAACTTTCACATTATAGGCCGTCTTGATAGTGGCAGCCCACCATGAACAACCCCACGTCAAGACAGATTCACCTCCAACACCACAGACAAATGAGGGCTATCTAACGAGAACAGTTCGACGACATCTACGCCATCCATGTGGTGTCTAAAGTCAAAACATCGACGTCGAAAACCGGTGGAACAGACTGCCATTGTGATGGAAAGTGTTCTGTTCACCGATGAGGCACGTTTCCCTTTTCACTGAGCTGACGGGACACGTGTCTACAGACGCACTGGTGACCGTTTCATCAAGATAAGTGTTCTCGACTGGGATCGTTTTAGAGGTAAGGTTATTTCGATCTGAAGCGGGACAACAGTTTCAGAAAGGACGCCAATGCTGTGACGTTCCGCGACGAGATTGTACAAATAGCAACTTTACTATTTTGCTACAGAATGGAGGCGCAGTCTCCACACGCGCAACACACGTTTCAACACGGTCATATGTTGCTCCGCGGTTTCTATATAACAGTAGTAACGTAATCATATTAATGTTAATGTGTTATCCCTCCCCTAGCAAGACCCCTAGTGGTTTCAATGACACGGGGATTCCAGGCCTGCATCAATGTACACGATGGACATCCTCGTTTTGATTCTGTGAACTTGCTTGTGAATCCATATTTGTGTTTTAGCTCATTTGTATATGCTCGGGTTGTATTTCCATCAACACTTCATTCGCGGCTGTAAAGTGTAAAACTTATTCTGTTTCTTGTTTTGTGTCTCAATACCTTTGGCCTTTGAGGTATAGATCTTAGGTAGCAGTTGACAGATATACATTGCATGTACTTGCACCAAGTGAAAAGTATTCGTTCCAAATGTCGCTCCCAGTATATCTACGCGAAACGCAAAATAAGGTTAATGTTCCTGTATCTCCTAGAATAGTTGCTATACGTGCAGGTATCTGCATAAGAGTACCTATGCATACATGCATCAACAACATCCCTGTCTGTTCTTATCTATACACGGAAAGCTCTACTGTTTTCGTGTGCTCACCATTCGTTCCATATGTCCATATACATGTATATCTTACCTGTACGAACTGGCTGAAGAATGCAACAAAAATAGGTGACATATATCAAAACGACCACAGCCTTTCCCATGACGTTGACTCTTGAACTCGTCGCATTAACAAGAAACGTTCTTCCTGGTTAAACACCGCCTGCACATGAAGGACATGCAATACAGACAACTATGCACAGGTGACGTGGTGCAGGTGAGTATCAGCACGAAATGAATGCTGCCAACTTTAAAATGCGAGAGACAAGCTGGTGGTGAGAGGTAGCCCGCTTAATGAAAATATATTCCACACGACTTGTTTTACTTGTTTGGACATTAAAACGATATAAAAGCTATGAAATTGTTAGTACTACTAATCACCCTCTTTGGAGAAGTCTAGTGGTCAGAACCGCGTTCGTTACACTCGAGACCCGGCTTCGATTCCCCAGAGGTATATTATTATTATGCTAACATTTGCATAGCGGCGATATCAAGATCACCTGAGCTGCCCAAAGGCGCTTTGTTTTACCCTCGATCACTGGATGTCAGTCTCAACGGCACGTCGTATTATCAATCTCAGCTCCCATGGGAGCATACAACTCTGCAGCCACTAGACGCACCGAGTTAGTGTGGCTTTCTCATCACTGCGAGGTACCCATTCACAGCTGGTTGGACTGGGACAGATAGTCACACTAGGGTCTGCACACAAAATGGACTCCAATGTTTTTACACCGGGTCATGGGTGGGCCGATCACCTCAAGCTCGTTGGATCACCAGCCTTGCGCCATAGTCAGCTCGCCCACCACGCCCGCAGGCATATAATATGGTATAATGTGTAAAGCCAAACATGATATTCAGGGAAGATTGCCAGAAAAATAACTCTTCACTCACCAAGTTTTTGTGTTATGTATCATCTAGAGGCTTTTTCCATCTCATCCTATCAAATATCCCTTGGCTGTTGTGTGAGCTAGTACATATTGCGAACAGGTCACTATTCAAAGAGGACACCACATGGTACGGTTCCCTATTCACCAGCTTTGTGCGACCTAAGTTGTTGGATTTACACTGTAGTTTGACTTTTTTAGCTGTAAACAGTCTTCACAGTCACTTCACTAGTAATAGTTATCAAAGTATTCATCTCAAACGTTATATGTGTGGAATGTGTTCAGGTTGCCTACAACAAGGAAGTTGTGGGGCGTTTGTGGAAAGCCATATTGATGTCATACTTTGTGAAACACTGTCGCCTGACTGATCATCCTCAACGACACAATAATCTGTACAGTGATTCGTTGTTACCACCTTAGTACACGACCACATTGCATGGTTGTAACTACTGCACTAACTAAAACTCTTAGAGATCTAATGTTATACGAAATTTATCTGGAAAACACCTTCTAGCTATAGACTACTATTTGACGGACAGTGGTTAAACGGATAGGTCGTATTGGATGGATATTAACTACAACGCAAGCAAGCGTGATAACAGATCCACCTCAAACTCAAAGCTCTGTATATATCGTCTTTGTTAATGGGGATTTGGCGGAGGACGTCTAGACGTGTGTTAATATTCATTCAGCAGGGAACAAATTTGTATTATTTTACACTCTCTTGATACATCTACATATAAAGACAGGGTGTTGATGCTTTTCAAAATAATAATTGAACCCTACGTATTCCGTCTTTAGTAATTAGTGCCTTTTGAAGAACGTCGGATGATTCGAAATATTTACGCAGGTCCATTCAGCTTCGACACAACGGTGGTTGACTGCAGGTCAGTATATCAGGTGTCTCAGGGAACCATGTCGTCTAAGTTGTCGGATATTGTTGTGCAGAGTTGAGCCAACATTTAACTATGATCAAGGGTTGCGTGTATTAATATACCTGTGCGGGTGAGTATCACTAATGAGGTAAAAATCTAGGGTCCGCAACACTTCGGACTTCACTCCTCCATTACGCAGGCCCTTACTACAGAGTCCTTCTGACACAAGTGAGAAATCAAATACATTGGCTGCTGATGTAAATTTTCCGATAGAAACTCAAAATTCAAATTTTGAGATAATTTTGAAAATATTCTGATTGTCACAACCTGTTTTGAATATACCCGTGGAGCCGACATAGAATAACAACTTGTATCGGGTGTCATTTTCCTCAGTTAATAAGTTCCGAACACGTGGCAAAATGAAAACAAAATCGTTTACTTTCATAAATGATGGTAAAGAAAAGCTGAAGTTATTCTAACTGAAATAGTGCGATTATCGCTTGGATAGTTAAGAAGTTGTAGTATTATTGAACTTGTTAATATAACATAACGGTCGACGTGGATCACTCTAATTTCTAATAAATTCTATTCTGTACAAAGGTTCTTGGAAGAGATATACACAAACCATCACAGACAGTAATCAAGTGGTATATGATTTTAATTAACAACATAAACGAAATTAATATTATTTGAATTAAGGGAGTAAACAGAATGACACCATACATGAAACACTGCCTGACATACGATATTATAGGAGTAACAGTTGTTAAGTGGGAATACAGTCTCTGCTCGTCAAAGGAAAGACATGCAAATTTACAGAAGGGCCACATAGATACAACTGTAGGGATAACATTTGGCTTGATATTACATATTGCAGTTTTCATATCAAAGCGACAATATCGATCTGAGTAATTTACACAGTAAAATGTACACATGTATCTGTTATACCTATGCACGCCTATGGATAGTTCTATCGAAGTAAAAGAAAAGCAGGTATGGACCTCAAAGATAAAATATGGAAAATTAAGTGCTGAAAAGTTTCGTGCTGTTTGTTGTTTAGCAAAGACAGGTATATAACAGCGCGGTATGTTAAAGTTCGAGCGTAGATCAGACAATCCAGTGATTAACTTCATGAGTATTGACCAACGCAATTAGGATACGATGACGTGTCAACAATGTCAGCGAGCATGACCATCCGATCCTGATAGTGGCCCATTACGACAAGCATGGGTTGCTGAAGATCAATTCAACTAACAGGGAATATGTAATCGTCGGTGGACACTAAATTGTATAACATCTGGCCACTCTCAGAGTCAACACATTCAGGTATGCATCAGGAGCAAGTTTATCGTCATCGTTATCGTCGCCGTCGCCATCGCCATCGCCGTTGTCATCTTCATCAGAGTCACAGTCTGAAGCCGCACCACTCACCAGTTTTGTATCCGTTATCCAACTACATCACTGGGATGGCTATAAGATAATTATCACGATTTTCGATCATGTTCTTTTACATTTACAAATTCGTGACTGATAAAATGGATGAAAGAGGTAAATCATATGTTTTGGTAATCTGTGGTAGCCGTTGACCCATGTGTAGTATCCTCTTGAGATCTTGAGGTCTGTTCGATAATGGCATAGTTGTTGACATCAGCTCTTGCTGACAGGCCGGAGTAAGTTGGGTGTTGTTCAACAGAAGCTGGCGTGTCTCCTTGTTTCTTCACGCAGTCAGATCGTACCGACGTCTGAAAAGACAGATCATTTGTCATGTAAATGTCTTTTCTTTGGTAAATAATCTAATCCCATTCTTAGTTTTTCTGTACTTTGGTTTGATAGGATGGATTTCCGAAGTCACTCATACACATCCCATATGAGATAAACGTTATGACAGACATTTTGTGAATGCTTTCCAATATACCTGATAACGAGGACGTACACTGCAAGACCGACCAGGATGACAATAACAGCTCCCGCAGCCACCCCTCCTATAAACACACCAGCTGAAACAGAAAACTGCCACTGTGTATTGTGCAGAGATCAACTAGAGCACTCTTTACTTATATTTGATCAAAATAACATTTAACACAGGCCAAAACATGAGTCTTTTCCATGAACTTAATCATCGGTGTTTTTTACTTCACAAGGCCAACACCACTTGAAATACAGAACAAAATTCAATTTTGTAGATTGCTAAAACAAGTTGAGGTATGAACACGCAACTGTAATATTTTCAGTTGAATGAATTAAGCTAAATTCATGAAAGCAACTTTTTAACATTAGAATGTAGTCATCTGTCTGAAGTTTTAAACCACTGTGTATAGGTTCCCATACAGTGAATAATGCATACGTGGGGAATCGTGATATGGGGAGCACATCCTTATTTGGCCGAGTTGTGATCTCCCCTGTGGAAAAAACACGTATATTTTTATCAAAACAGTAACCAAAATACATATGTAAAAAAAATGATCATGCAATCGTAACTGAGGAGCAAGTCAATGTCAATAGTAAATCACACACACACACACAAATATGAAAAGACGCCTTTTCACATCACAATTTTCATGATAAATACTATTAATATTATGCGATGACTACAAGGAAGTATGTGAGATTTAACGACATGACAAGGGAGCATTGTATGATCCGTCCCGGATTTACAAAGAGACTGCTTTGCACGAGATCGAGTACATCATTTTCCCTTGAACAGTTATGTTAGAAATCCTGCTGTAAATACTACATGCCTGAGATTTGTTGAGGCGTGGATTGTGAAGACCTGTCATTAGTTGATTCAGTGGTGAATCCTCCTGTGAAACAGTGGACACATCTAAATGTACTTTCTTGTTCAGCAATGAGTATAAACAAACGATAGAAAGCACACAGATATATAAGCTTTTGTATGGAATACGAAATTAGGCACTGCTTTGTGAACATATTTAAAAGCTATTTAAACACTAAAAAGCACATTTGTGGCAACACAGGAGCAAGATCTTCAATAAAGATAAAGAAAAGATCAAGTTAACAGGTCATATACTCTGGGCACTAATGTGCTATAAACACACCAGCTGAAACAGAAAACTGCCACTGTGTATTGTGCAGAGATCAGCTAGAGCACTCCTTACTTATATTTGATCAAAATAACATTTAACACAGGCCAAAACATGAGTCTTTTCCATGAACTTAATCATCGGTGTTTTTACTTCACAAGGCCAACACCACTTGAAATACAGAACAAAATTCAATTTTGTAGATTGCTAAAACAAGTTGAGGTATGAACACGCAACTGTAATATTTTCAGTTGAATGAATTAAGCTAAATTCATGAAAGCAACTTTTAACATTAGAATGTAGTCATCTGTCTGAAGTTTTAAACCACTGTGTATAGGTTCCCATACAGTGAATAATGCATACGTGGGAATCGTGATATGGGGAGCACATCCTTATTTGGCCGAGTTGTGATCTCCCTGTGTGGAAAAACACGTATATTTTTATCAAAACAGTAACCAAAATACATATGTAAAAATGATCATGCAATCGTAACTGAGGAGCAAGTCAATGTCAATAGTAAATCACACACACACACAAAATATGAAAGACGCCTTTTCACATCACAATTTTCATGATAAATACTATTAATATTATGCGATGACTACAAGGAAGTATGTGAGATTTAACGACATGACAAGGAGCATTGTATGATCCGTCCTGGATTTATAAAGAGACTGCTTTGCAAGAGATCGAGTACATCATTTTCCCTTGAACAGTTATGTTAGAAATCCTGCTGTAAATACTACATGCCTGAGATTTGTTGAGGCGTGGATTGTGAAGACCTGTCATTAGTTGATTCAGTGGTGAATCCTCCTGTGAAACAGTGGACACATCTAAATGTACTTTCTTGTTCAGCAATGAGTATAAACAAACGATAGAAAGCACACAGATATATAAGCTTTTGTATGGAATACGAAATTAGGCACTGCTTTGTGAACATATTTAAAAGCTATTTATACACTAAAAAGCACATTTGTGGCAACACAGGAGCAAGATCTTCAATAAAGATAAAGAAAAGATCAAGTTAACAGGTCATATACTCTGGGCACTAATGTGCTCCAATGCACGTTTCTTAAGACGTGTTAATTTTTTCATACTTTGCAAACATATGTTTTGATTTTAGAAATTGACACTCAGTAATGGTTCCCATGTGGGTTTTCTAACCTGGTCATCGGTTAATCGCGCATACAAAACATTACCTACTTCAATAACAACTACATGAAAGGACATATAGAGGGAAATACCTGTGAGAATTATATGAGTGGATAACTGAAATAAGTGATGACACAAGGTGTTTAATCCGTTGCATCAGAAGGCTGTAGGGAGATAATCCACAATACTGAGTTTAGTTTACGTCGGCGGGGACACCAGAAATGGGCTTCACACAATGTGACCATATGGGGAATCGAACCCGGGTCTTTGGCGTTACGGGCAAACGCCTTAACCACTAGGGCTACCCCATTGCCCCTAAATCCACAATGTGATATAACAAGTTAGTATTAAAATACAACATAAGCAATATCTGTGTATACACCTTTGATTTCATTTTACAGCTAAATACAGCCTTGTTCTGATAACATAAGAAATTTAATCGAGAAACTCCTTGGAATAACAAAGGGGACATGTGATACAATTCAATAGCACTTCTGTACATTAATCATTTCAAGGACTGCATTGAAGATGTATATAGTGCATCTAGTTTGAGTGATTCAAGCAAAGGCTTGCGTAAAATCCTTAAAGGTTTCAGTGCGTGACAGCCATTGGTTTAGTTCCGAAGTAACTATATTATCTGAAACTGATAATATTGATAACTGTCATGAACTGCCTAAAGGAAGCATCGTCCAAACTCTTGCATTGCAAGAGAATGGCAGCTGCTATCGCTGAGAAGCATGACTTTCTATTATCCCAAAACATGTACTTATTTGAATATGGGCACATTTTAGATAAATAGGTTCGGATGTAGAACTAGGCAATAGCAATGATACTATGTGCACATAGAAACTTATATGGTGAACTTCTGAAGATTGCCTACCTGTGCTGGCCACTGGTTGACATCTTACATCAAAAGGGTTGGATGCTGCAATATGAAACACACGTTATGCCATACAGTTATCTCCCAAACGTAGCTCTTAATATAACTGAAATATGTCAAATGAACAACTGGCTAAGGAACGACTGGGAATTTTGTATTTCATATTCTGCGACTGACAATTCTATAATCCATTTTGTGTGTAACTTCCTACATTAAACGCACACATCGTTGGAAATGCATAGTTCATGTGAATTTCATGTTTGCTCGATAACATATCATATGATGGATCCCATTCGGACCTGTACTCGGAAGCCAAATGAAGGCTTATGACGATGAAATTTCTGCTGTTTAACACAGTACATTGGGTGTACCGCTGAATACTTGTTGTCCTTTACATTTCCTACCATTGATCAGGAGCCAAATTAACGTTGAAGACACACATGGGATATCAAAGTAGATAGATATCGGGAGCTTCGCTGTAACGTTTAGTCTCTCAAACGGATGGAACACAGTTGAACAATTATTCACTGTTATGTAGTTTGCAGGTAGGACATTGAACTGTGATAAGCACTGCCCTGGAGTTCGTCGTCTGATTCTCACGTTAAGAGAATACACTGATACAATTGTGGTTGGGTCATCAGATTTGAAGCTGCACACGTATGAATTATTTTGTATTGTAGAAGTAGCCATCATTTCGTCTGTATTGAATTGTGAGACTTGAGATAACCCCTTCGCAGAACTCCCGCTGATGTTCAAAGACGCGTCGTCTGCAAAATGAGTTTCAGTTGTTAAAAGATTCAGATAAACGTGAATGTCTTCCCATCCTGATGTGCTTACCCTGTCAGGAGAGCGGTTGTTAAGAACATTTCTAGATTCAAGTGCAGTTTCTAAACTGACAAGTTCAGTATACATTCTACAATTGTCAATGAACGTACATTGCCTTGAGAGGCAATTTAGAGGTTAGTCCTAGATCCTAATTGACAGACACGATTGAGAAAACAAGGGGAGGTGCACACTTCATTTTACCCGAGCTTCAATGGTCATTTAATAAACTTTCAGGACAAAGGGGTGAACAGGGTGCGCACCCCAGCACCCCTGCCCCTCCCCACATAGATCCGCCTATGAACCGCGCGCTAAGTCTCCACTTCTGTACCTTGATACGTTGGCAAACCTCACAAAACTTGCATAAATAAATATGAACTATGTATATATGATGACAATTGATATATACTGTGCCTACCTACTGATACTGTTAGTGCTTTAATGAAACTATAAGATAAATTACATCTATGAATATAATTAAACTGAAATATTTCGATGAAAAGATGTATTTACTGGAAGCTACTGTACCTCCATTATACCGTCTCATTTGAAAAATATTATGTTATTCTTATAAATATCTACTCGGCATTAGATATTTTCCTTGTGGTTTCATTTGGGCTGTGTGGGGCGGTGGGGTAGCCTAGTGGTTAAAGCGTTGGCTCGTCACGCCGAAGGCCCCAGGTTCGATTCCCCACATGGGCACATTGTGTTAAGCCCATTTCTGGTGTCCCCGCCGTGATATTGCTGGAATATTGCTAAAAGCGGCGTAAAACTAAACTCAGTCAGTCAGTCAGTCATTTGGGCTGTTCCGTTATAATGTGTAGGTAACAGGTATTATAGCTAAAACACATGGAATTATCATGAAACGGCCCTTCTATTATCAGACATTTGCGGGCCGCTGCAAATGATATTGGACCGCTCAATCCTAACGACGGGCCACTCTCAGTTCTGTTGTCAAGTGACGTCATAGTGGGTGCGTCGGTTCATTCGACTTTGGCTTTGGACTGGCAGATATTCTGGGGCAAACAAGTCACAGCAACCCGAATTCCCGCTTTAAATAGCGGTATTATTGGTTTTTTGCTGGTGCTAACCTTAGCAGTTGCACTATTAACGTTGCTGTTGGACCAAAACCGAACACTGACAACTGACGTTGTGTCTGACATAGTTTGACATGTTGCAGGCCATGGTCTTGTGAAAGGCCAAGGTCGAATATCGTCACGTTCTGTTGTGACGTCATTTGAATTGTTCGATGACGTAATTGCATTCGGTCAGTCAACCCCGTCAGAAGTTGGTTTTGAGTAAACTTACAGTCAAATTCCTTAATTGTTTCCTTTTTCTTTTGAACACAAATTCCATGTATTTTAGAAATGATAACGGTAATGCTATTTTTGAGGGGCATTATCATTGGCAGAAGCCCTCGGTCTTTTCAACTGCCCTCCACCGTCGGGCAGTTAATGGAACACCTCGGACCTCTGCCAATGATAATGCCCTAAAAAATAGCATTACCCTTATAGTAGCTAACGTGTTCATTGAACCGTAAATGTTGTTGTTTCAAGGCGTCCGCGAACTACCTGTCTGCACAATGGGAGGATACCATTTTAGAAGTTGTAAACATGAAGGAATACCAAGTTCTAGGGATAGTCAACTTCTTTATTGCAATGAATGCGACGTTTCAGTGCAGATGCTAACACCGTTATCAAGCAATATAACGGTGTTAGTACTCTTTCTACACCGGTGTTAGTATTCTATACGGTGTAAGTAATCTTTCTACACCGGTGTTAGTATTCTATACGGTGTTAGTGTTCTTCCTGCACCGAAACGTCGCATTCATTGCAATAAAGAAATTGACATGCCATGGAACTTGCTTTTCATTTAACGGACACTTGTTATTGACAGAAAGTATATTTCTACATTCAAGTCTGAGAAGAAGACACATATTTCAGAACAGAGAATACAATGCATCTTATTGGAAAGTGAACAACATCTGAGAATGTTTTGTGTCTTAGCCAGTCAAGTTTGTATTCACATGATCCGTGCGTACAATGTTGATAGATACGAACACATATATTGCATTTTAGATAACATTCATAACAAAAGCAAAAGCAGGGTTGATTGTATAATTGTGCATACATCATGAGTAGATATTTGTTTCAGCAGCATTACAGCTGTATGATGTTGTTTGCAACACAGGAATCCATTTGATGGATTTATGCGGTACAACCTCTCCCCGTTCACGTGTAATAACATCTTTTCACTCAAACAAAACGAATAGCTAAGACAGGGTTTTAGTCTAAACTAAACTATACACTTACCACCCATACACTGATATTTCACAACAGAGAATGCACGATCAAAACTCCGCAGAGGAGCAGGATACAGACACCGAGTCTTTGTTGAACAGTCGTTATAAGAGGGAGACCAGCTCGGTGTTGTTGAACCTGTGATAGCCATGTTCTGTCACACTGTCCGGCTTCACAGCGACGCAGTTAGCGACACCTGTACCACACTCTGCGTTGTTAGTGTAGTAGGCGTCATAGATGGTGATCTTCTGGGAGGGGTCACAACTGAGGTCATGCCGAACACAGAACAGACCACCGGATCCATAGCATGCCTTACTGGTGTATGTTGTACCTACATGAACAAGACACATCACAGCTTTAATGTAAGAACAATTACCGTTGTGTTATTTACGATCATTGTAATATCAGTTACCTTGTTGTCCATAACGCATCGTTTTCATAGCGCACAGATCGGATGTTTCGTACATATGTCAGTACAAGAAAATGTAATGGACAATGAACAAATAGATCACTTACAGTCGGGTCTGGTGGTTGACAGTGGACGCTCGTCATCCACATGATAAACTATGGAATCTATCTAGATAACTGCCGGGGTCTGGCAGGAGCTTGACTAAACATTATGGAGAATCTCTGAAATATTGAACTGCATGTACTGGCAAGTGAGAGCTTTCGTTTCTGTACATTGGTAATACTGAAATTAAATTCTTCATGGATTCTGTATATGTATAGCAGGTACATGATATGCTTAGAGATACATGATATGCTCTGTTATAGTCTAAACCATCAACTTTGGTCCCAACCGTGAAGATACGGGTAAGCAAATATCTTCAATAATTCATGCATGTCCTTAGAGGCAACTAATGAGATCGGGTTGACAGGCTCGATAACTTCATTGACACAAATCATCGTATTGCAATTCGCAGACAGATGCTCATGATGTCAATCACTGAATTGCCTGGTTACGTACTGGTTACAGGCCGCCGTCATTTAGCTGGAATATTGCTGATTCCGGCGTAAACCCAACAAAACTTTGGTCATCAAGTTTCACTTATGCTTGTTTTTAATTCAAAGAGCCTCAATTATGAATCTTGGTTAAGGTTTTAATAATTTAGATTACCTCCTAATGATATCCGAGAATAATCCTACAGGACAAAACAGCACGAGACCTGTCGGACTTCACAAACAAATACAAAATAACTTGAACCCCACTTGAAGTAAAGCTGTACATTGTGCATACTTACGCAACCATGTTAATTTCAATTTCTCAGCTATGCATCAGACACCAAGGTAAAGATGTACCGTGCGAAATGTCGGCCAATGTCAACAATGTTCCTCTTGTCACAGACAAAACTACCTGGCTCAACTAACCGTACGTACATGGACAACACAACTGACCACCTTGCATTTGAATGGATATTATATGGATATACATTGACAAGTTGTGCTTGGGCTTCATGTTACCTGTCGCGTTAAACTGCATTCAGATTGTCAACAAGGAAGTAAATTGGGCATTCGCTCAGGTGGCCTTGCTGAACTTGGTTTCTCATTGTGTCTCAGGGCTGTTTATTCCTGGCGATTGTGCAAACACAGCAGGCCAAGTCAAGCTCTTCCTCTATACACAAAGGTATTATGTGTTGGCAATGTCCTACCTTTGTAACGCATATACAACTGTCACGTGATTCATGGAAAGCTGTAGTGTGTGATGCACTGACAAGAAATCTTAAGTCATTTATGCATAGCAATATGCAGATGGCATATGTTAATTATTAACCATTACGGCTGTAAATATTCTTGTAATCTAAATGGGAGGTGAGGTGGAGGACCTACCCGCACTCCCTTTCATTCATTCCAGTGTCGTCCGGGTGAGGTGAGGTGAGGTGAGGTGAGGTGAGGTGAGGTGGTGAGGTGCCCTGAATGGCGCTACCGGAGGTCGAACAACTACCATCTCCTCTCCAGACAGACACTATATTCTCTGGACCATAGTCGCATGTACACTCTACAGGTAATCAAAAGTCTTGATTCTTGTTTTTTGTGACTTGAGAAATATATAAGGACAACGCAATAAGGAAATCAACAGCTAATTCTGAAGTTCAGAATCTCTGACTTCACGATCCTTCTATCAAAATAATAACGTATTTTAACTACTCGTTTGTCAACAGTTTTTTTTATGACAATGCTGTGTGAATTTAACAAAAACATGTTTAATTGTTTCTATAATAAACTAACTTGCACCAAACAATATTATTTTAACTAATGACCAGATAATGAAATGCGTTTTGACCCTTTGTGGTGAAGAGGAATTTAGGGTTTGATCATTTATGATATATTCGTGCAGCGCATGTCAAATGCCTATCATATACATGGGGTAAAACGTAACTGATACCATTGGTTAAGTTTATACAGCGCCATACTCTATCGGACGTTCCTCAATTTCAATCGTAACCTACTCACTGGAATACTGAAACTGGAATAAAATCAAATACTTCCATCTCGATACCTTAACACAATATGACCGCTTTTATGTTTTTCCACGGATGAATGAAGGAAACAAGCTGTGTTGAGATACGTATACGTGTGCTATATGCATCAGTTAATACAAAACAGCAATCTGGGAAATAACCAGTCTTGATTGTCCGCCGCAACAA